CGGGACAACTTTTTGTGGAGTTATGTGAAGTCACTTCTCAGCACTAACATGCGCTTCCAAATGCTGCATAAGGTGGTCGAATTGGGTCTTTCGTCTAGTTGAGGCAGCCGCGGTGGCCGCTTGTCTAAAATCATTTTTAAAATATATTGTGAAGCTTTTTCTTTATAATATTTTTAATTTCTTGGCCCCAATGTTAAATTCTATGTCTTTTATTTCTTCTTGAAAACGACATGTCCATATGGGAATCAATATTTAAACCAAAAATAAATACCGTAAATTCTATATGCTCATTAATGGCGTAAAGAGTTAGGCATGGCCGAAGATAGCTCTCTTTTTTTTAAATAACTACGCTTCATTTCGTGTCTGCTATTTCCTTCCTGGTAAATTACCCTCGTCAAACTTATTGACATTTTCTAGTTAAAATTCTCTTCTTGTTGGCTCGGATTCGCCTTAAGGGAGTTCAATAACATCACTACCTCTTTCGCTGCAATTTGTATGGACAAGTAAACTTTTGCTCGTCCGTGGAGCAGGCAACAATATGTAAATACAAACATATGTATATCCGTAAAGCCATAATTAAATATGTACAACAAGTAGTATAATTATGTCATGTCAACAAGTCTTATATATGCTTAATGTCAATACCAATGGTCGAGTACAGACATATCCGTAGATTAGCAGTGTATTAATAACGGTTGGCTATTTTTAGCTTGCAGCGATTATGAAGAACAAACCGACGCAGCTAGGGCTGCCATAATACATTCATAAATAAATAATGAACACGTGAAATAAATTAAAGCTTATCAACAATACCGTCAATATGAAATAAACAGAAAGTATTTTAGTATTTTCAAAGCATTTGCCGATCTCAAATATCGAATAGGGAAACGATTTAGTTCGAACACATACATAAATTATGCCTTTTTTATTTATCAAAGCGCTGCGTAAATGCCATTCAAATGAGAAATATACACTATGTACATATTAAGCCAGTTTGTTCTGGTCTATAATTCCGTAAATTACTTCCGGGTCTGTCAATGGCTCTTGTCGCAAAATTAGAAAGAACAAGCTGATTTGAGCTAGACTCAAACGGAAAGTATATGTAAAATTAGCACTATTAAATGAAGATTTGTGGCAAGCACACATCTCAATAGTTCTTGTTGTTTCTGCTGAGACACACACAGCTAAATTAGCCCTATTCACACATGCATCTTAATTGCCATATTTTGCACTAAAGTCACCGCTCATTGCATTTTAAATCAAAGCAAGTCTTTCTCTTCGCTGTTCTTAATTTAATTCATAAAGATAATTACTTCGCCTGAGACCGAAATATGATTGTTTGTAGTACTAGATGGAAACAAGAGAAAATTCATCGAGCAGGGGCAAAGCAAAGTATCCCCTGATCGAAAAATTTACAACCAAATCGATCATGTTGTGGTAAAACGGAAGACTTGTGTTCAGTGATCTTGCGAACACTGCCCCACCTTGCAACTGAAGAGGGAAGCAAGACACATACAAAAATGAAAAAAGCCGAGAAGCGTGAGTGCGAAGAGCTTGAGAAGCTAGTCGACAAAAGTAATGCCTTAAAATTCTACGAAAAGATACCTCGACTTTCAGAAGGTATCAAGGCCGGAGCAGGCTCTTGTAGGTCACAAAGAAAATGCTGAAAATGCAACATCAAGAGATGACGAATCCGATTCTTCAGTCGATGACGATATAACAAATATTGCATTGCTCGGCTATGCAGAAGTTCGCATAGGAATCACCCGCTTGAAAAACAACAAACAATGATATTGACATTAATTTCCTCAACAACAGTGCCGTGAGTTCTGCTTTCTCGGCACTAGACAAGGAACCGAAGGATAAGAATCTGGTAATGAACTAGAGCAAGCTGAAATATCTCCTGTCAGCAAGCAAACAGTAGTCGTATTCGCGACTCGGATCCCACGTCTCGGTTGACAGCCATAATTTTGAAATGGGTAAAGAACTTCGTCTATTTTGAAACCGATAATAATACCAACAACAATGTCAGCCTATAAATCAAGCGCAAAATTACACTGTCCAACAGGTTCTACTTTGAACTGAGTAGGCAATTGAAAAGTAGAGTTCCCTCGCGACGAATGAACACTAAACTTTACAAGGCAAACTTTGGAAGGCAGCCATAATCGGGTGGAGAAGATCCTGGCTGCACTTGGTATTTCCAACTGGCGTCAAACAGCTAAAAGAAGGGTTGAATGGCGAGCTATACTCGCGTAACTTGTGACCACACCAATGAGGAAAAAGGTTCTTTTTTAAATGAGTTTTGACCAAAACTTCTTAAACGTTTCTCTTTCGTGACGAACTCACTTTCACTGCTCCGTGGTAAAAAAGTTGAAGTTTCCATGACAATGGCCATCCTCAGAGACACCGTACAGGGCGCACTAAGGACGTTATAGCTGTTGTAGAGCTGAGTATCGAAAAATACCCGAAAGTGTCCATCCGTTATCGCCGACTGACAGGTCTTGTTTTGTCAGTTTTCGAAATTTAACTCTTGCAAGAATTAAAGCCGAGCGATCATCAAGCGCATCACAGTTTCGCTGAATGAACCCAAAAAGAGCTCGCCACCGATTCCGATTTTTCACAATAAAATTTTGCTCAGCAATGAAGATCACTTTTGGTTGAATGGATACTTTGATTGACTGAATTTGGAGTGATGGTAAAGCACAGGGCATTGTTGAGACGCCGTTACATCCTCGAAAAGTCACTGTTTGGTGTGATCTATGGGCAGAGGGAATCATGGGTTTATATGTTTTGCTTCAAAAATGAAGCTAGTCAGTAAGTTACAGTCAAGAGGGAATTCTCTACAGCCATAATCAATGACTTTTTTGCACTGGAATTGAAGGATGCAGATGCGGACTACATTTGGTTTTAACAAGACGGCGCTACATTACATACGGTCAATGAAATAATCAGCTTGTTGAAGGAAACTTGGTGAGCGCATTAAGTTGCGTCGTGGTTGCCTGTGGTGTTTGGACTATTGTTTGTGGTTTTATGTGAAGTCGGTCTCTCGGCTGGAATTTATTCGAGACAGTCGCGGCGATCACTTGTCCCAAATTTGTTTTAAAATCAATTGGAAAACCTTTGTCTTCATAATAGAACTAGATTCTTGGTCATAGCATTAAATTATATGTGTTTTATTGGTTCTGGAAAAATCTTAAAAAAAACACTTGAACACACAATGTTGGCCAAAGCTAAAGCACATCGAAAATTCGAAATATTTCAAAAATTTATACTCAGTGTTTCCATACAATTTCAACATTTATAGGGTATAAAAAACAAATTTACAGTATTTTACTTTTTTTAATATAAAACTAAAAATATTCTTATGTTTATGTCCGAACGAAAAGAAAGTGATCTACCACTATTAAATTATATTTTATTTGAACTAAAACTTTTTTTTCAAAGTGAATTTTTTTTTCAAAAACTTTTCAACTTCTCGGCAATTTTTTAGTTCAATTTTATATGAAAGATACTTATAAAAATAAAAAAAAAAAATTAGTTCGAATGTTTTCGGCACATTGCACGACCGTCATCACCGGCACCGTTTCAAAAGCTTAGACTGCAGCCGCTTCAGCAAACTCATCATAATATTGGAAAATTCCAATATTTTTTGGTACTAAACATTGCTGTTTGAAGCTTAAATATAGTACATAATTGTCTGAAAATTTGGTTTACCGCAATAAATTCCATCCCTTTCAAGAAAATTGCTGAAAAAACGCTTTATAAAGGAGACTACTAACTTAAGGGGTCTTAGATTAGTCGCTTAATCTTTCGCCTTCAATCCCATTGTGAGCTTTTTAGAGATTACGATTTCGAAGATTCATAGTGAAGATCATAATAGAGCTTTGAAGGAGATCTGTTGTCGAATCGAGTGTTCCGTGAACGTATCGGCAGTTGGACGAATGAAAATTCCGTGACACGTAAATCGTATAAAATTATTGAGATGATGCCATACGAAAGCAAACGGATCGTAATTACTTGAAAATGTAAAAGATGATTTCATGTTCATCTTTTACATTATTTTCTTACAATTTTGAATCAACTGTTCGCAAATGCTAAATATTTTTTCAAATAAAATCAATTATGGGTGGTGTTTTACTTTTTTATCTTCCGATGAAAGTGATGTCGATGAATAAATTGTAAGGAGGCGATTAAGGAACGAAAGTAACCCATTAGATTTTTGTCACATACAACGTGAGTAAAATTATATATATCAACAATTTTCTCACATACAAAGCTCTCTTGCAGATTTATGAAAAGGTTCCGCATGACCAGAAGAAGCATTCCTTAACAGGCTGGCCAAAAATATTGAGCTTTTATTTCAACTCCTACCATAAATTATTACCAGTTGCTTTGCCCTGTGTGCAGTTGGGCAAAATCTTTTGTGCTAAATTTGGTTGTGACCGCATGAATTTAGGGACGAACTGCTTTTGGGCCGCATTAATTTTTGTTTGCATTGGTCCTAAAATAATTTTTTTTAAAATTCAAAAATATTTTCTATAATACTTTAAAATAAGTTAATTACATTTTTATTGCTTGCTTATTTACGAACACAATTTTGTAATCGAATAACAGTTTTTAACGAACGTACGTTAACGTATGGCTTTTTCGAACGCATCATATTGAATTACGACAACGCGTACACACGTTCACGTGTGGCGTAATGCCAAATACTTAAATTTACGTGACGAGTTATACGTTTACGGAACGCTCGATTCGACCTTTGGTTTAATAATTTCCAGAAGTTATCGGTAACCAGATTTCTTTGATGTTAAATAGTTGTCCTCAAGTCATTATAAATTATAGGATAAGTGCAAAATTTTGAACAATAAGCGTAAATATTTTAGTTTTCGTCAATACTGTACATATGTACGTATGTATGTACAATATAATATATAGCATAAGCAATTGAAAATTCAGCATATTAAAGCCACACTTACATAATCAAAAATTCACAATACCTTTGTACATTATTAAGAAATGAAGTTGATGCATTCGCCAATCAGCAATTGGAAAAAATGAATTCAGCACTTTTCATTATTACGGCCCATAAAGCAACCGTTGGACAATTTCCATTGAGTACAAAACAAAAGCAGCATCTAGCCGTGCTTACTTTACATATATACGTGTATGTATGTTTGTATGTAGTCGCATAAAAGATTGAGTAGGTCTGCCGGTGAGTATCTTTTTTTGTTTTTGGGTTTTATTATTTTTTTTTTTTTGGAGCACAACGTGTTACATTTTTTACACGCAATCAAATTACGCGACGCGAATAATTGATTTTGATTACTCAATATTTAGACAGAGGCAATTGCGCTTAACACACGAAGTATGCAAGCAAGAAGATATTTTTATACATTTACTCGCCCATGCATATGTACATATGTATGTATAGCATGTGTTTATATAGTTGATTGTTTTTGGTTTTTTTTTTGATTTTTAATTTAAACGTGGCAGCACGTCACGCACATCTCATACCTAGATTTTTATGTATGCATATACATATGTAAATATGTATTTATGTAGTGTTTATTTCATGCTCTTAATTCACTTTCAATGCTGCTCGTCTTCAAAAAACATAAACAATTAAAAATACACACCGGCGGCTTGGAATGGCGAAAGTTTGAAAGCAGCTGACGCTTAATAGAGTTATGGCACTTGAACAGAAAATTGAATGAACAATTTAAAAAGGTAATAACCGTCTAATAATATCATGCCAATGAGGAAATAGCCGCTCAGACACGCGTGAAAATGTATCTTATACCACACGGTTATGCACTTCAATGAGCATAAGTACATACGTACATACGCGTACATACATACAAGCATGTGTAAGACGGTGTGCAATTTCAAGCTAAATATGTGCGAACATATGTATGCAAGATAGAAAAGATAATTTTCAAAATGTTTCGCTTTTCAGCATTACGGGCAAGTATCAACAACGTCCAACACTCAATAAAGCACGCTCAAAATAGACGACCGCAAATTGCACAATGACATTAATGAAAACGCATACAAGCAAATTTATGTATGTATGTATGTATGTATGTATGTATGTATGTATGTACATATGCACTTTTGACACCAATAATAGCTTTTATTTCTATTTTTACGTTAGCTAACAGTCTACTCTGAGAAATGACTGATAAGAAAAAAATCTCTTCTTATCACTTTTATTCAACACTAATAATCGTTTACCCCGATTTACAAGTCAATATTCAATATAAAAATCATGAAAAACTTTGCAATCTCACAACAAAACCAACAAATCAGGCAATACACGAATAAGAAGAAGAAGATGAAGAAGAATTTTCGACAACGGCACGTAAATCACAATGATGTGCAAAAATGTACTGTTTATTTGAAATTCCCAACGACACGCTTTAATTCGGAAGCATCCAAATCGACAAACATACAACTTGCCACTGAGTAGGCCGAAAGAGCAGCTGATGACACCGCAAGTGGGCAAATGAGCTAAATATTGCGTTGAGTGTTATGCCAACTGAGCTTTTGTCGGCTCAAGTGAGTGACATACATGCATACATATTCATGTACATATAAAGACTGAAATGTAATGCGAGGCGTGAGAATCAACCAAAGTATCGGTACACAATTAAATGGAAATAAACAAATAAAGGAATTGATATTTATGCGGGCAGAGCAAAACACGTTCATTCAATTGCTATTGTATGGGCACTTGTGCTCTCTGTTTTGTTTTTGGGTAAAATGTTTCACTCAAAATTTCTTTATTGACTCAAACAATTTGCTTTGTTGCGCATTTTGCACAAAGAGTGAAAATATTTCGACTCGTTTGAACATGCTACCCTTTCAATCCACTCAACTAACGGAAAACGGAATCGGAAGCGTTGCTCACCAGAAAAAAAAAATACAGTGTCCAACAGTCAAGTTAGCGCCGGTTCTAACGAAGATTGCACTTTATTTTAACCTTAAATAAACTCACTTTCTTTTCTTTAATTCTCCCTCTCTATATATATGTAAATATGTATATGAAAATCATATGTTCGTTTGTAAAGATCCGATTACTTCCAAAAGTTAACGAGCGACTAACTCGAAAACTTTGTGTTTCTGTGATTCTTGAGAAAGTTTTCTAGCTTTGCGTCTTATTTTTTGCGCAAAATTTTTGCCACATTGCAGCTTTCTGATCAGTCCCGAAGTACGAAAGTATTTATTGCTTGTGTTTTAAAGGCTTCAAAGAATGTACTTTTTTCTTAAATCTGTTCTAAAACTATCCAAGAAGATGTCTTCAAAATTTCACTGACCAATTCGACTTATTTTAGAGGCTAGAGCAGTTTTATTGGCCGAGCGTCGAGCAGGTTCGAATGCTCGGGCAGAACGTTGAAGCGCGTTTTCTCGAGTCTTAATTTTTATTGGATGAGTGCATAAGTTCGTGCCCGCTTCCGCTGGATGCCGTTCGAATCGTTTGAGAGTGGCGCTCGTGAAAGAAATATATACATATTATATATCGTTGAAAAGGCGACAGTCCGAACTGTGAACCAAGCATAAAATAACTTCATTTTGATTTGAGTTGCTTAGTGAAAAGGCGCATGGAAGATGGACAACGAAAAAGATCATAAGCGTCATATTATGTTATACGAATTCCGCAAAGGAAAAACAGTAGGCGCTGCAACTAAAGATATTAGCGAAGTTTATTTGGACATGGCGCGTTAGCAAAAATAATATACATACATCTAATCAAAAAATAAAAAAAAAATGAAAGTGATCTAGCTTCAGCATTAAATTATTCTCTTTTAAACTGAAAAAAGGTAGACAAATTATTATTTGAACTCTTTTTTTTGCAACTGAAAAAGTGTTATTTTTTTTAAACTTCGAAAAAATTTGTATTTTTCGAACTTCTTTTGTATTTTAGCTTAGTTCGTATGGAAGATATGCACGTGTGTCCCAAAAATAACCGAACTTTATATTTAAATCATACAACATACAGCGCCATCTATTGAAAATTTGCAATATTAAAAAGATACATTCATCGTCTTTCAAACGCACCCAACATCATGTAAGTCGGATGACAGATGTCAGAGTGACAGCCATTTCAATAAAACCAAAAGTGTGCTAATGGTTCAAAAATAAAATGGAACAAAGAGTAAATATAAAATTTTATGTCAAACTTGAAAAAAAATTAATAAAAAAGTTTATTGTGATAATTGTTTGAGTCGTAAGCAAGTTTATACGTGGTTACACGATTTAAAAATGGTCGTGAGGATTTAAATGACGACCCTAGAGCAGGACGTCCGAAACTAGCAATCGTGCTGCACCGGTGGAAAAAGTCCGTGAAATCATTGGTATCGATGCAAATTTTACTACGAGAATGTTGGATGAGGAATTGAATACGAGTAAAAACACTATTTGCTGAATTTTAACTGAAGTTTTGGGGAAAAGGAAGGTCTGTGCGCGATTTGTTCCACATAAATTAAATGACGTCCAAAAAATCGCTCGAATTTTTAATGAAAAAAGGGATTTTTCTCATCGACCATCCTCCGTATTTGCCTGATCTATCACCATGTGACTATTTTTTATTTCTAAAACTGAAAACCAAGTTGAAGGGAGCATTTTATGATGATATCCCAGTCATTCAAGCAGCCGTAACCGAGGTACTGAAGAACATTTCTATAAATGACATAAAACAATCTATGCATTCGCTGGTTGATCGTTCCAAACTTTTTGTTTAGTCAAATGGAACCTATTTTGAATAAATAATAACTTTCAAAGATAATATAATGTGTATTTTATTTTTTATCCAAAAAAGTTCGGTTATTTTTGAAACCCTCCGTGTACTCAAAAAAATTTAAAAAAAAAATATTTGGGTCGACTGTTTCAGATGCATTGCACGGTCTCCACACCGGCGCACTCTTTCATAACCCCCTGCGGGTTAGGGGCTCAAGAATTTACCCGCGGTAAGGCATACCTGTCGTAAAAGGCGACTAAAATCCAATAGTTTCCGCGACAGTCGGGTCTTTATACCGGAACGACCCGGATTTTTATCCGGCCAAGGACTGTCACTCCCGCAACATTCCCCAAAAAGTACTTTAGGGAATAATTTTGCGGTTACAACAATAACAACAACATATGTTATTTTTTGAAGCTTAAGTATGATACACAATACGCAACAATTCCCTTCCCTTTCAAAAAAGAAAAAATTGCTTAAAAAGCGCTTTTCTTTTGGGTTCCAAGGGAGACTACTGCTTTATCAACAAAAATTCTATTTTATAAAATTTGTTTGTTTGATTTTGTTCACAAGAGATGTTTCTCTTTCGGACAAATTTAGTAAGCCAGTTAGTGTTCGAACAGCTAGAAAAAGACTTTTGAAAGCAGATTTAAAAAGATGTTAAGCCCGAAAGAAACCGTGGCTCTCAGAAAAAAATAGGAAAAATCATTTGGGATGGGCTCGCCGTTACAAACATTTCATGAAAAAAGATTGTTCTGTGGTCTGATGAATCAAACTTCGAGGTAAGCTTAGTTAAGATCGTCTTAAAGTATTAACAGCCATAGCTTCTTGCCCTAGAGTAATTTTGAAGATATTTCCACAGATATTTGGAACACCTGATGTGACGTTCGTAAGGCGACGGGTTTGGAAAAGAATATCATCCAGATTACGTGGTACCCACTGTTAAGGATTGAGGAGGCAGCATTATGAACTCGGGCGTGCTTGGCTGCTGATGGTGTCGGCGAAATGTTCGTTTGCGAGGGTCGCATGGACAATCAAAAGTACATAAATGTATCAGGTGTACAACTTTGCTTCCGCCGTTTTTTTTTTTTCAAAATTAAAAGCTTTATTGCGAAAAAGTGCTTACAAATATATAATTCAAAGTATTGTCCTTCGCCAGCGACAGTTTTCTGCCATCTTTCCGGCAATTTTCGGATCCCGGCTCGAAAAAAGTAGTCCTCTTTTGACACTATCCATGAAGCAATCCATTTTTCCAATTCTTCGAAGGATTGAAAATGTTGATCTGCCAGGCCGTGTGACATCGAACGGAATAGGTGGAAATCAGAAGGGGCGACATCTGGGGAATACGGCGGGTGGAGCAAGACTTCCCCTTTCAGCGTTTCCAGGTACTTTTTGACCACTTTTGCGACGTGAGGCCGAGCATTGTGGTGTTGGAGGATGACTTTGTCATGTCGCTCTTGATATTGTGGCCGCTTTTCTTTTAGCGCGCGACTAAGGCGCATCAGTTGCGTTCGGTAGCAATCTCCTGTGATGGTTTCACCCGGTTTTAAGAGCTCGTAGTAAATCACACCGAGCTGATCCCACCAAATACAAATCATAACCTTGTTTGTCTTCGACATCGAAATCACCATTTTTAAAACGTTGAAACCACTACCGACACGTTCTTTCACTCAGAGCAGCGTCACCGTAAGTTTCTGAGAGCATGCGATGCGCTTCACCTGCATTTTTTCGAATTGTAACAGAAAAGTAGAACTTCCCGCAAATGGCCTGCACAGTCTCCAGATCCTAATCTCATTGAGCACATGTGGGCTATTTTAAATCGCAATATTAAGGAACACAGTATAACATCAAAAGCTGCCTTAAAGAATGCCTCAATTAACGAGTGGTTTGCTAAAAGTGCGGACGAATGAGCAAAGCTTGTACGCAGCATGCCTGAAATAATTGTGGACCTTCTAAACATTAATGTTATTATCACTAATTCATTGTATTTTCACTGTTTTACTAATAAAACTTCATCACTTACCTTCACTTCAACAAAAAATTCAGTAAATAGTGGGGGCCTAATAATTCTGGCCAAGGCTGTATGTATATCCACGACAACTAGTGAACTCACCCACTTACGAAGAATCGAATTACTTGTAAACATAAATATTAAATGCATATAAAATAAAAATAAATTGTAAACAAAAACTATGAACGCACACACATAAAATATAAACATAATACATGAAAATTAAAAAAAAAAAAAATATAATGTTCTTCAACGTAACTGTTTTTTTTGTTCAGCATTTTGCGGTAACCAATGCCAACATAATTGGTAATAAAATGTCATTGACTTACATTTCGAACGACTTAAATGAGAAAAGTAATTGAAGCAAACCGTAAATATCTGTAATCTCATAACAATGGCAAGCCAATGATTCGGTTTATATGCTCAGTCGTAGTAGCTGAGCGGGTAGCAGTGTACGGTAGTGAAGAGAACAAAAGAGCAACTGAAAGAAAATGTAAGAATTTTTATACCGAAATGCTCCAAACAGGCCTGATTAACTTTGGAAAAAATATATAAATACCAACAGCACCGGTCACACGTAGCTGACGCATGTTGAGTGTTTTGTATCACTGTCAAACATCTTCAGTTGGGTCTATAGTTCAACCATGAACCTTCTGACAAACGAACAACGCTTGCAAATTATTAAATTTCATTATCAAAATGCGGGGGGTCGATTGCGGAGTAAAGATCAGCCAGAAG